GCATCAGCGGCGAAATAGTACGGGCACAACAATATGTTATGTTATATGTCGTTGTTGAAATTAAAGTTTTAATTGTATCGACATATATATATATATTATTATAAATGTGAAAAGAATGATAGAAATACAATAAACGAGCAAATAGTTTTACTATTGAAAAATAGAAGATCCTGTAATTAATTTGAATCGTCTGTGTTACTAATATAAAATAATAGATAGCATTTAAAATTTCGAGATTTTTATTTATTTGTTTGTCTTTTAATTTGTCTTCTTTTTTAATCATTTAATTTTTTCGTGTTTGTTATCGGTTACAACATATATATGTGTATATGTTGTGGCGCGTTGTAGCAATTATTTATAAGGGTGTAATGTAAAAGGGGTATCTTTGCAATAACTTTAGTAAGCTTTGTCATTTGATTAGAACTTTGCTTTTTAAAGACTTGACGACATTAACGTGACATTTTTATTTTTACTTTTTTACGATGATTGCGCAACGCAAGCGCAGCATCAACGATGCATCATGCAGCGCGGAGCATATAGTGCGATATTCACGGATCATTTCTGAAAGATGCGGTTTCGAAACATAAAATCATTTCCTATAGTTGAATTTAGCGTAAAAAATTCAATAACTTTTGTTATTACACAAAAATCTTGAAATTCGTAAAAATAATAACAAGGAGATAAATTAAAAAATATAAAATTTTTATAAAAATCCAGCTGCGCGGTTATAAAGCCCGTAAAATACCATAAAATTTTTATTTAAAACATTTTTTATACTTTTTACAGTTTTAACGATATTTTGTCAAAACCAAATAAAATAAACCACTTCAGCTTGTAGAAATTGTTTCAACCCCTAAACGTGCGAGAACGCAAAAAAATATACGTGTCTCTTATTTTGAGATACTCTACAACATATTCAAAACTCATCAAAATTGAAGGAGGACAACTCTGTCACTTTCTCGTTAGCAAAAGGTTACGCAAAAATCGGCAATAATTTGAATGCAAAATAATGATATAATACAAAATATACTGGATACCTGTTGGTGTTGCACACGTTCGATTGAATCCTATGGTTTAATTCTGTTATCACTTGCAATTAATGTAATGTTTTGTTTCACTTTTGCTATTTTGTGAGAATAGATCCTGTGTACTCCGTGCTCACAAACTTAATGAGCTTCGTTGTAATCCGTGATGAAATATGTACTGTTGTAGAATGACTTGTCAATCTTTTTTTCTTTTCTTCTGTTTTCTCTCTGTTCCTTTTCCCACATAGTTGACACTACAACAAAAAATTTTATGCGTTTCGTTCTTGCTAGAGGCAAAAAGCTCGCTTCTAATCGCAAGACAAATTGGTTTTTTTTCATTTTCACGTTCCTATAAACAATTCATGAACATTTCATGAACGTCATCGTTCTTAGATGCGCGTAAAACTATCGAAGGACGCTGTATGCCATTACATCTCGACTGTTGATGAATCCGGAATATGCAAAATCTGGTTAAATTTTATCTACTTGTCGATTTTGTAGGATATTTAAAAATAGTATCAAAATACTAAACTTTCTAAAACTTTGTTTTTTTTTGTAAAAGTTTGATGGATTGAATTTGTATAAATCTTGTTTTTTACGCAAAAAGTAACTAAAAAATAGATATAATAAAAATGTTAGTGTTCACTTTGTCTTGAACAAATAAATAAGAGGAAAGAAATATTACGTTGTTCTAATTGTTTTATTATAATTATAATTATAATTTATATAATTTATATAATTTAATTTATTATAATTATAATTATAATTATAATTATTATAAATGTAAAATAATATAAAAATTATTTATTTATTTTCACTTATTTTATTTTCTCATATATTCTTTTAGATTTATATAAGAATAATATTATTTTAAAGAAAAGCGTTTGAGCTAGTGAATAGAAAATAATAAAATAAAGTAGTCATGCATAATGTATTGATGATAATCTATCTTGATATCTATGATATTTATCTTATGTTGTCATTTTCTTGGAAAATACGAGGAGTCCGTAATAAATGCAATTATTACATCATTACTACAATATAAAGAAAGAAAAATATTTAAACTTATGCACTTGCACACGCTTATTAGTATTATTTAACCTTTGATTCTTGCGTCAGTCTTCTATTAACGACGTAGAATGTACTTCACATTTACTATAATAAATTATATTTAATCGATATTTTTAATGACGTTTCTTTCTTTCTTATAACATAAAGATAGTGCGCATTTACAAAGTATAATCTTGCTTTGCAACAAATAGATGAATGTTGAAATGTAAAAACTTTTAAAGAATTGAGTTTTACGTCAAAATAAAGAATTACCTTGTTTGCTCTATTTCAAGGACTTATATCTATGTTTAGCAAGCAGATTGTAGTTATTGTTTTAAAAATATTATATTTGTGTTATTTTGCGTGTAAACTTAACTTTTTCTCATATTTTCAATAAATAGTTTGACGTAGAAATCTGAAATATAAATCTACTTATTGTTTTATTAATCTTAATAGTTTATTTTTAATTTTTAAATAGAATCCACTATTAAAATGCATATCAAATATCACCTTTATAATTAAAAAATCATTTTTTCTTTTTATGTAATAATTCTTTTACGTAAAACATATTCTTAATAATATGAAGAAAAATCTTTTACTAGCGCTTTGTGTCACACTGTTGCATTTATCACGGCATTTGTCACAGCTTCATTTATTTTTCCGCGATAATGTAACAAGTGTATATAAAAGTTAGTTTTTTTGATAAGTCATTATTGTGCTGCGTTATTCTCACTATCGTAGTTTGTAATTAATCACCAAAAGAGATCTAATGTAAGCTGACAATTTTTAATACGTCTTCTTTTTGTTAGTAATTTACTACACGTGTGGCCTGAGTATGTTTTTTCTTATGGTTTGCATTCTTTTTCTTAAACAAAATTTTATTCCACGTCTATGACCCAAGACGAAACAGGCATATATAAGATGTTTAATAGATTATATAAGCTATATATGAGTCAGATATAAACTAAAATATTTAATTTGAAAATACACATATTGTTTATAACACCATACATCTAACTAAAAGAAAATGTCATATACTTTTTCGTTTTTATTCTTATGTATTTATAAATCGCGACAAAACATTTGACAGAATTTTATTTACCTCTTTCTGCGCCGCATAATGTAGAAAAGGTAGAAAAAAGAATCAGGACGAAGTACGCAATATACAGAATCCTGTCCCGAATCATATAGATCGTTTAAAATAAAATTTTTTATATACGTTT